TGAAAGCCAGGATATAGTCTCTAGGTCAAGATAGGGCCATGGCTCTTTCTTGGGCTGGCAATCTCTCTCTCTTTTCAATGGAGTCCAGCCTCTTTTCGTCATTCTTTTTGGTCCCTCTTAGTCCTTTCTTTTGAGTTGCTCAAATCTGTCATCCTACTTCCCACCACTCTGATTTAACTCCCTCCACAGGAGACTACATTCCCCAGAAGTCTCCTCCAGAGCCTCTTGTTTTCCCAATTCCAGGAGCAAGTCCCAACCAGCCAGTCAACCAACCAGGGAATGCTGGGAATGCATCTATCAATCCATTCATCTTGCTATCAATCTACCTACCATGTATCTTTCTATCAATCTACACAGACACAGACACAGACACAGACACACACACACACACACACACACACACAAACTTCAAGACAGGCAATACAAAAGATAGATCTTATAGCCTAAATTAGATTGATTAGACTGTGGGGCTGAATTTGATGTCCATTTCATATCTGAAGGAGCTGACCTTTTTTCATAATCTCCCTTGCTTTTCTATTATCCTAGTTTGCTTTTCTTTATGTTCTAGTAATCCCTTGCCTGGAGAAGAGTTTTTAAAAGTTTCTTTGAAGAAAGCAGTTTACGATATTTATTCAACCTTAACAGAAAGTTACCATCCAGTTACAGATCTCCTTACATTGTGCTGCTCATGGTTGTAATTTTGAAAAATCAAAGTAACTAATAATAAATCAATTTGATTGCAAATTGATTTTTTAAGAAACCCAAATAATTTAATTTCTAATATTCATCTACCAAAGATTTCCCTCCCCCCTCCTGGCTCTGTACTGGAGATCAATTTGATAAATGATCAGGCTATACATGGCTGTAAATTTTCTGGCAACTGCACTAAAAGTTCAATGTACAATCTAAGCTCGGATGACTTCAAACTATCAATCAACAAGAGGGTTTTTTAAAAACTGTGTAAGGTCATAGACTTGCCAGCAAATGCTAATTCACAAGTTCTACTATCAATCTGAAAGCTGGGAAATATTTTTTCCCCTTGCAGTGCCAAATTGTTATTGTTTGCTTTAGAATTTAACATTTGACCACAATGATTAGCAGCAACTTAAACAAAATACCATGCTATCTCAGATTTCACTTTCAGCTATAGAAGTACAGGAGGTAGGATGTTACAAAAGGTTTAGAATCCAGATGAGAAGTTAGTGATAATAAAAAAGTTAAATATAATTGTTCCTGTTCTATAAATGGAAGTGCTGAATGCTTTATTTGTTAGAAGTATTATTTAAACATTTGTCTATTAAAATTTCTAGATATTATTTCTAGATATTGAAGAAAAGTACAAAAACCATTATTTATTAGTCAAAAATACCCACTGAAATTAATCACACCACACCAAACAAGATAATTAACTATCAGCATAATATAACTAAAATTAGTAGCTAAAATTAGTAGCTAAAATTACAAACAGAAACCTCCTGTGATGGAGCACCCACAGGTTCTGAAGGCAAGTTGTTTGACAGTGAGAACAATGAACCAGTGGAATCAAACATTGGTTAATATCTAAGAAGTATTTTGAAGGAACAGTCATCTAATCCACTCTTTTAATATGATTTGTCTCCTGTGAACAAAGCATACTTAGCTTTTGTAGTTAAAATGTGCTGAATGACATGGGCAAAGACGTCATATTAAATAAAACTGATCCATAAAACCATGTAACACAACACTGGACATTTTTGTTAGAACTGTGGTAATGTGCTTAACTTCATAATCTTATAATCATAATCTTATAATCATAATCTTATAATCTTAAATTATAATCACTTCAGAGTGATTATAAAACTTAGACCCAGAAGCATCCACTAAAGATGTTTCTATTTACTTCTGAGGGACGCGGTGACACAGTGGCTAAGATGTTGATCAGAGAGGTCCACAGTTCGAATCCCTACCACCGTGTAATGGAGTGAGCTCCCGTTACTTGTCCCAGCTTCTGCCAACCTAGCAGTTTGAAAGCATGTAAAAATGCAAGTAGAAAAATAGGGACCACTTTGGTGGGAAGGTAACAGTGTTCCATGCACCTTCGGTGTTTAGTCATGCCAGCCACATGACCATGGAGATGAGCACCACCTTCTAGAAACTACTGGAAACTACTAGCATGTTTGTGTGAGGGGAACCTTTACCTTATTCACTTCCAAAGTTTCTATCATATTCCCATTTACACGTGATGTTATTAACTACATGAGAAAACCGAACTGGACAGTTACTAGAGTTAAAACTGCAGACTTCTGTATGGCCAACATAGCCATAATCATGCACTCTCATGCAAGCTGTAAGCCCCCCCTCCCCCCCCCTTTTTTTTTTTTGCTGAAATCATCATTTTGCTCGTTGACAGATTCTTGCTTAACCAAGGAAGCTGTCTGGGCTCAATAGTATAGACATCAAACTTTGAGAGAAATTGTAACAAAAGAACATTCGATCCTGCACCTCTAGAGCTATAGAGGGCAGAGGAATAGTCCTGAAGAATAGGACAAAGAGCCATTACTAAGGCAATGATCAGACAAGTTGGGTTTGAATCCATTCCAAGAAATATTTGAGAAAACAACTGATTGGCCCCTTTCCTAGTTTCCACAGAAATAAAGGGAAAGAGGGGGGAGCACATTCAGACTTCCAAGATTCTATTACTATAACCATTACAATAAAAATAGCCCTGACCTATATGGCACTGATTTCTTAGGTTTATTTTATAGCAGTGGTGCCCCAACCTGTCACTAGGGATCAGTTTTGTGAAAGATTATTATTCTACAGATGGGAGAGGGCGGGTTTCCAAATGCAACCTAGACCCGGTGCATGCACAGATGAAGCTTCACTCACTTACATGCACAGCCCATATCCTAACATGGACCGATACCAGCCCACGGCCCAGAGGTTGGGGACCCCTGCTTTAAAGGGTTGACAAAGGCAAACCATTAAGTCATTGTCACACGAAGAAGTGACTATTGTTAACCTTGATTTTATAGAAAGTGGCCCTAGACACCCACTTCCCTTCAAGCTATAAATGCATTTTATTTTTTCTTTATGTACACTGAGAGAATATGCACCAAAGACAAATTCCTTGTGCGTCCAATCATACTTGGCCAATAAAGAATTCTATTCTATTCTTAAAATTTAAATTTGGCTGCCCTACTGAGTATACCAGGTCAATTACAAATTGAGACAGCCTCGTGGCTACCAAAGGAGAAATGCAGTCCCAAACAATCCCACTAAACATGGGTAAGCAGTCTTACTGTGTTAAATTTCAACTTCCTGGCTAAATAGTCATATATACTTCAAATATTCTACAAGTATCAATCCAAAAATATACATAAAATCATGTTGCCCTACAGAATTGCTCTGTACATTTTTAAAAATGATGCAAGGTAAGTCTAATAATAAGGCATTTGTAGCTTCAGTAGCAAAAATATCTAATTGCATTGTGCAATTATGTTTTTAAAAATCGACACCAAAATAAAATGAGCTGCAATGTCATAAGCATTATAAGCATTAACCTTTTACCAAAGGGTATGTTAGTATAATAGGACAAACACACACACTCACACATATACAGAATGCACCAAAAGTCAGCCTCTACAGGATAATCACAATATGATTTGATAATATGTTTTCCAATAGTCTTATTTACCATATACTTAGAAATGTTCAAAGGTCATCCATCAAATAAGTAATGAAATCTTTGGTAGAAAATGACAACTAATTTGAACATTTAATGTGATATATATAATAAACTGTCTATGGAGCCTGATTTTGGGTACACCCATGTGTGTTTGTGTGTGTATATCCTGACTGTGTAAATTACAGGGCATGAATTTAAATTCCATCATGACTAAGGTGTTGTGATACACATAATAAAAACAATCAATCCCAGAATTGAATTTTCCAGAGTATTCTAGAATGCTCTGTTCTTTCTCAGGCCATGTCATTCTGGCTGGGGTGGGCAAGCAATTTTCTGGAAATTAATTCTCCAAACTGGAAGTAGTTCCAAAGTGTTCAGGGCAAGGTGTGTGAAGGAAATAGGACTTGACTAGGTCTAGAACTGCTTCTAGTTCAGAAAACAAATTCCTGAGAAACTGCTAATCCCTTCTAAAATAATTGGAAAGCAGGCTGAAAATCAGCAGAGAAATTTTTGGGGGTGCCTGCAATTTTGGGTTATTCTGACATTCTTCAAGTACATACCAATCGGCCTCCATCTTTGACAGCTCAACTGTAATTAGCTCAGTTGCTTCCACCTGCCTGTGCTAAGTAGATCCATAATAAAAGGCAAGAAAAAAACCTGCCTTTTACATACAGCATGAGATGGCATTTAATTATACAGTTTAATATCTTATTGATCTTCTGCTCCAAAATAACCACCTGCCTGTGGACATATTCAAGTAGGAAATAGTTTGTATAAGACAAACACAACAGCTGGTTTTGGGTCAAGCCTTTACTTTTTTTAGGCCAATACTACCATGATGATTTGAAGTTTTGGAACACTATTCATCTTTTTAAGTGTCTTGGAAGATACTTCCTAATCTTTAAGTTCCTTATTATTGGCTGCCCTTTGGAATGATCTATCCCCAGATGTACCCCAATTAGGAAGGTGGTTAACATCTGGAACTTCCACAGAGCTTTGTGACTAGGTTGAGATGAGTATCCCTGGATAGGTTGTTGGCATTTTCAGTGTTTAATGTTTAAAGTTTAGTATGTTTTCAGGTGTGCTATGATATTTTATATCTTTTTTTAATTGGGGTGTCTTTTGTACACAACCTAGCGTCAGAGAGTTTGAATGGAACAGCCATATAAGAGCCTAAATAAATGTTACAAACTAGTCTTAGGCATATCAATGAAAATATCAATAAAATCCATGGCATCATTTTCATACAATTTAGTACAAAAGATGTCAACTGATCTACATAGGCTAAGCATTCATCAATGATAATGTAATAGAAGAAAGATGTTAAAGCTACCTTCCTTTCTTTTGATTTCATGAGGGATTTTACAATGTCCACCATGGCTAACGACCCACACAGGATACTGCTGATTCAGGCTATAATATAAAGTCTCAATGAATGTCCGGTAAAAGTCAGGCAATCCTGGATTACCTAAAAAGACAAAAGTTTACTAAAAATATAGGCCACAAATAAAACATAATCCATTGAAAAGACTGAAACATTAAGATCCATCTTTATCTTGTGCAAATTATATTTATCAAATATTTTTCACTGTACGGACCATGTATATGTCACACTTGAACTTGGAATGAAAACAGACCTTCAACTGGGTGGCATTTCTCATTCTTTGTCTAAAAATAATTTTGCAACTCAACAGGCAACTTTCACCTTACCAAAGATTTACCCCACATGAATGAGATTTTGGGAGGGGAGGGGAAATAGCACTTAATTCCTCCATTGCATTGCTTTACTATAGAAACTTATAACCTCTCCAACAATATAGTATAACCTCTTCAAATATAGTATATTATCCACATTTTCCAAGTTCCTGGAATGTTTAGTTCCTGTTCTTCCCAAATTAGAGCAGTTTACTTATTTTGGAGGGTTTGTCACCGCAAAACTATTCATTAATCAAAATGTGTTTTAAAAGATTTTTTTTTTAATTCACATAATATGCATGCATTTTCTATAATATGAAAGAGACGAATTTATTCAAAAGAATTGAGTTAAGTAAATGCTCTTTGAGTAACATGTTTTACATTCTTGTCTTTCTTTTAAACTGATATTCTTTGGAAGAGCCTCCAAAGGTAAAACAAAGATTTTATGCTGTAACTCCTTCATAGATTTTCATTCTTCCCCATTCATTCCACTGAATATTTGTCTCATTCCTATCAGAGCACCATATCATTTTATAGTCAATGGCTTGGAAAGAAATCAATTTTTGTTAAGCTTTGTAGTCAGTCCTTCAGTGTATATTTTAATACCTGCGATTAACCTTTTTTTTTTCCTGACAGGGAAGGTTTCTATCTTCTGATAAACTGTATCATTACCTGAGTTTTTCTTTAGAAAGAAAATAGAAAAGATCACAGACAAAATAGGGCATAGGGAGGAGCAGGAAAAGAGCAATGATAAAAGATATAGATTACTTATTACAATAGCTACTGACACTGAAACATTCACTGAAGGGGTAGAAACAAGAGCCACAAATGTGAATACACTTTTTAATGAAGACAACAAAAATGCTGTCAAAAAGAGAACTCCGTACCTTACATTACTTATTAAATTATCAGTCTCTGTTCTTTTCATCAAAACAAACACTTGTCCAATATTTCTGCCACAAAATGTGAGAAAATTGTTCTTTGTCTTTGGTAGCATGATGAACAAATGAACTTATTGCAAAGTAAGGACATTTATTTTACAGTAGTTTGTAGCACTACTGCTAGTGATTTATATTGGGCTTAATGGTGGTTAAAAGAGGAATTTAATGTGTCTGGTTCAACAAGATTAAAATCCAAAGATACATTGAAAGCTCTGTGAACAGTGGGAATTCTCACTATTTCACAATCCCATCCAAAAACCTGATAGAGCAGGAGGAAGTATTTGTGGCCCCGCGTAAACCTTTTAAAAATAGAACCCAGGGGAACCAATTGTTGTTTGCATTTATTGCCCTGTTCAAAATAGACATCATCCAAAATCTCAACGTTCTTTATAACTACCCAGTTAAAGAAAAAGAGAGACAAGAACAAAGCACCTTACGTTCTTCTCTCTTATATAAACCTATTTATTTATCTTCCATCTTTAGGAATAATAAAGAGCCCAAACTAACATACGTTACATATAATGTAGGGGAAGAGGTAGAGAGGCTGCCACAAAATGCTCCATGAAACATTCTTGTTCCACCTACTCCACTGAACTCTGAGAAAATCATTATACAGATCCTTTAATTAGTTTGGTGCCAATGTCCTAACAGTTTGACTTAATGTAGAACAGGTAGAGACTTCTGAACTTTTCTCATTATTGTTTTGGCATTGTGTATTGTTCGGGGTAATGAAATAATTCCATGCCCAGATGCAATGGTTTGAAGAGCAGACAGCTAAATCGATTTTGGAAGTGGCAGTCTTCAGTCTTTTGTCACTGGGATTACTTGTTGGGAAAAATCTAATCATGGGAAACAACCAATGACCCAGAAACTAGCTTCAGACACATCAAATGTTATTTGACTGTGAAGGAGTATATCATATACATGGCAACTTAAATATCTGGAAGAATGCAGTGAAACCAGTTATTTGGAACCTCCAACATTATTGGAGGTTCTCCATACAAAAAGTTCTCCATACAAAAAAAAAAAACTGTAAAAAAAATTGTACTTATGTTTAAAACAGCACCATCTTCTGGCACATTTGTTTCTACATTATAGTCAGAAAGCACAATTGTCTTAAGCATTATTAATTTTATTTAGTTTGTAATAAATGCCTATCTAGCAGTTCCTAACAATCTAACATAATGTAGAATAGGCTACATTATCTGTTGAGAAAGGACTGCTTTGAACAAATACTATATATCTGATCCCAACATTGAGAGATTCTGCTGCAATGTTCAAACATTGCAGCAGAAGGCAAATTAGTATTGCAAAAGCTTTAAGAACACCAGTGGTGTTTAGATGCCTCCCTGTATTTTTTATTTCTTCACAACTCATTGACTATAAAATGATCCTGTGATATGATAAAATACTTGTAGCTCAGGGTTGAACTGATGGTCTCTGAACTTGGTTGTTTTCTTGCAGATATTTCATTACCAAACTTGGTAACATCATCAAACTCTACTTCCATTATTTTTAACATCAAATGCTTCAAATTTCATTTAAGTGCAGTGTGAAAACACAGCAAACCAAAATGCAAAAGAGAGCTTTAAAACTCCTTGCTGTTATGCTAAAGGAAAACATGAGAATATGCAAACTTAGGAAACAGCTAGTCTTCTCATCACATCCAAATAAAGCTGATGAACATATAGTAGAGAGGACTTTGAAATGTCAGGTAGAGCACCCAAAACTCCCAAGTATAGATGTGATTGTTCAAAGATCGTACAACTCTTTCTAGAACTAACAGTTTCTCCAGCTGATACTGTTTCAGATTCAATTTCTAAAATGACATTTTAGTTTGGCAGGTATTGCAGCCATGTATTACTACAACACACACAGAAATTAGGGAGAGAAGGATACCATGTAGAATGTGGCTACAATTTATTTATGCAGTGTACATCAGTATAATACAACTGGATAATTTTTCTTTTATGCATGCTTTGTTGCACTGTTCATATCCTAGAACAGTCTAAGAGTCTTAATAAAGTGTCAGATATTTTTTGGCAACAGGCATCATTTAAAATGAAAATGAAATAAAAATGACCCTCATACTAGATCCACTAGCTCCCCAAAGGGATAAATTAGAAAATATCCCTTGGGAATTTTTTTTCCAGCTAGTATCTCAATCTCTTATCCCCATATCCCCTCTGCCTTTACAGAATATAAGTCTTTATTAATTTGCTTTTTGGAATTATACTCAAGCCTTCCCCTTTCCATTTTCTAGAACAGATTTGATCAAGAGAACATACACCACCTACATATCAAAACTTACCAGGGATAACTAGAAATAGAAGTCTGGGTGCACTTTTATCATTCCAGAGATCTTCCCAAGGGCCACACTTGAGAATCTGTGTCAAAGCTCCAGAAATGTAAGTGAACTCTTCACGTATCAAATCTTGCTCTTTAGAATCTGAGTTCATGCTTGCTGCTAAAGAGAAAACAAAGAGAGCTTAAAGTTAGCTATGAATAATCATTCCTTACTTGTTTGGCTTAATAAAGTGAACCTACCAGCGATTTTCTGGCCAAACAAGATACAGGAGTTTTGTCAACTCCTACATGATGATTTCAAAAATTCTCATGTAGGGAATAAGGTTAACAGCAGCTTCCTATGTTATTAAATGCTTGCAGAAGAGGCACTGATTCTTATCAGAATTGCAACTGGTAATTTGCAAAATATGCAAAATAAATGCATATGACAAAATAAAGCCTATCCAGATCATCAAATCAAGAGTCCGATATTTTTTTTAACAAAAGTTTTATTTAAGTTTTCACAAAACACAAATACAGATAAAATATCTTTTTTTTGAGAACAGGGTGGCCCCGGGTTGTCACTTCTCCATACAGACATAAACTCAATACATATTTATCTGATACATTCTAATCCATATCTTATAACTATTTTTGCAATGTTTTCAATAGCTTTTCCCTTTCTTTACTTCCTATAGCCTTATTTTAAATTATCTCATTCCTTTCTTAATGCAATTAGATATCTTTTTCTAATTTTTAAAATCTTTCTAATCAATGTTTTTATACTTTCGTCTGTCCTGTTTACAATTTCATATTATCTTTTCTCATAAAACAAATTTTCCCCTGTAATTACTAGACTAGAGTGTAACACCTTTGTATCTTTTTTCAAATCTTATTTAAAAATTTAAGTTACATCTTTACAGTTAATTCATTTTCTAACCTCTATTTTATAACACATACCTATTTTCAGTCGAATTCTGCTTGGTACATTCCCTTAAAATACACACTAAATTCTTAAAAGAAAAAAAGTATATATTTATTATATATCTGTATATATATGTATAACAATAGTAAATGGAATAATTATTCAAGTACAGCTCTGCCATTAATATTAATAACTATCTTTTACATTTCTATTTCTTTTAACAAACATTACCTAGTAATATCAGTTGTCTTTCACTTTAATCATCTATATTTCACATTTTATTTATTACAGTCTTTAAATAAAAAAGCAAACAATAGTTATTAACAGTAGTCAATAAAGTTATTATTCTTATTCAAGTTCATCTTGTCAACTGATAAAAATCTTCCATGTTTCTTTTCAGTTTTTTTAAACATTCTTTTTAAATCATTAAGAGCCTTATTCTCTTTACAAACAAATATTCCACTACACATCAAAACAGAATTTTCTTCTATCACTTTAATCATCTAACATTTTCTAACCCTTTTCTATGTCTAATATCAATGCTACCCCATGCACCCTTGCAGAATCCTCTCGTTAAATTTTAACCATTGTCTCTGTGTATTTTAAATAGGTTTATACCTTTAATTCTTGTACATTTTTCCTGTACCTCTATATCTTGTTTCTGTCTTTTGTAGCTTCTTTTCCTTTCCCTCTTCCCTTTCTTCATCTCCCTCCCCTTTTAATTTCCTTTTCTATCTGATTCTCCCTTCTGTGATCCTCCCTTCTGCTTCTTCCTGATATTATGATTACTTTTCAAATTACTCTTTTTTTGGTTGTTGCTTCAGTGCTTAAGTTTTTAACTCCCTTTCCCTCCTTTCCCTTTTTTACCCCGCTTAAAATTGTTTGGTCATTAAAGATGGCTTCTTCGTTGTCCCGCCCTTCTTGTTCTGCCAGCGTTTCTTGTTGTTTTTCATAGTTCGAGATCTCCATTTCTAAAAATTGAAATACGAAGCCAAAAGATCTCTTCCCTCTTGTGCTTCTTCTTTTTGTTCTTTAAGTCTCACTTTTAACTCTTTAAGGAGTGATGCCATTTAAAAAACTTTTAAACAACCCCCAATTGATTTTATTTTGTTTCATTAGGATCCTCCATCCAAAGTTCCAGGAATCATCCAATAATCCAAAACTGTTTCTTGCTTCTTTTCTCACTTTCTCTTTCCAGGGGCTTTGTTATCTTGTAAAAAAGTTTCAGCTACAGTGTATCTTTTGCAAGCCTTGTTAAAATTCCACTATCATTTTTTTTTTAAGTTCCAGGTGGTCTCCTCCATTTTCCAGATTCCACCCTCTTTTTTCCTTTTTCCCTCCACTGCTTTCTTTCTTTTTTTAAAGAAAGTTTTTAAATTATCCAAGAATCTTTATCCCTTTGACACTTTATTTTCAGCTAGAAATAGCCTATTAATGTCAAAGTGGATTAGTATCAATTTCTTATTCGAATCTCTTCTTCTTAATGTTCCAAGTCAGTTAAAACTGACGATGTTAGAAGAAAAAAAGTCAATTCCGTTTCCTTTCACTTTCTCTTTCACTGTTTAAAATCTTTTTTAAGACTAGTATTAGTCTTTAAAATTCAGGTTCCAGGTACCTTAAATAGATGTTCTCCATTCAACCCGGTCAGTCAAACTTTCTCATTTAAACTTCCTCCTGCACAATCTTGTCCGGTTGGGTTCTTCTTTGAGGTGGCCATTTCTGACCACCACTGTAACCGCCTTTGGGAAAGGGAGTAATGGCCAGCCAAGGAGGAGAGATGCGGCTCTCCTCAACCCCGCTGACGGCTCCCCCTTCTTCACCACCTCTACGGTGTGGCTTCAGCCCCGAATCCAGGCAGCTCGGGGAGCTCCAGTGGCGAGCATGGATCAAAACCGCAGACGATCGCGATTTTGGTCCGTCGCCGAAGAAGCCCAAACCGGAAGCCTCAAGTGTCTGATGTTTGTTGCATGTGAACTGGAAAAAAAAGATCAATGAGCAGGATAACAATTCAAGGCTTTCATTCCAAGTACATTAAGGTCTTGAAAAGCTGCTTAAGCAAATTAGTGTCATGGAAAAAAAAATCAGACTTATTTTAAACTTTGTCAATGAAAATACATTCTCAGATTTAATTTGCCAAATTCAAACTCTTCAGTGCCAATTTTTTTTATTTATTAAAAAGAGGTACTTTAATTAATGGGATTAGATCAGGCCTGAAGGGAATCCACTCCATTTGCTTCCTGCTGCACTGTGAAGCTACTATGGTATTACTTTGGAGGAGTGCTCCCCCTGCTCCTTGCAAATAGCATGGGAGGGGTTCCTTAAGATTATCAAGAAAGAGGAAGGGGTTAACATTCCTTTTAGAACTCTGATACTCCTATAGTCTTCAGCAATTGATACCATTTAGTAATAAAACCAGAAAATATCACGCCACTATTTGACCCTGAGTAGAGTTTGCTGCATTTGCAATAGTGAGCCTCATCCCTCATGCCACAGGAGAAATCAAACAGGAAATTATTTCCAGCTCCATCCTGAGGGAACAAGGTACAAAGCTTCTCTTCAGAGCAATGACACAACCACACGTCCATCCAAAGTCTGATGTAGTTTATTCATACAGAAGATTTAATAATCATCACTTTATTTTACTGTAGCCTGGGGACAGGTGATAATTCCCCCCCCCCCCAAATCAACATCACAAGGCCACTTTTGTCTCTCTGCAAATTGTTTATTCTTAACAGCTGAAAGAACTGCCCCAAAATAAGGAATTTCCCTCTTTCCTGCTAGAGAACAGGATGACAGCAACAAAAATCGTTTCTGTGGTATTTTGGGGGGGGCAGAGTGATAACGTGTGAAAACCAAGGGAGGCAACCAGTGCCCCACCCCACACCAACCTCGGAGCCCATAATTAGGGTTGGCCAATTATCATGGGAACAACAGTAGCCAAAACAAAACAGCAGTTAGTTCACACTAGTCCAGCTAGTTAGTGTGTGTGTGTGTGTGTAACAGATGGAAATACTGTATTTAGTGCAAACACGATCCTGAGCAGGAACGTTTCTTTGTTCACTCTTCTTTTCCGCGCCGGATTGCCTCGCTTCACTTTGCTTCATCAGCCTGGGTATTTCAACTAGAGTTCCATTATTAACCTAGGGGGCTCAGGGCAATTTTGACCGCTTGACGGCTGTTGGCCATAACTCCAGAAAACAAGCAGTGTGGGATGGCTTCTCTGCCATCCTCCTCCTCCTCCTCCTCATCACCCTGGAGGTGGAGAACGGGAGCGATTAATATCGGGGGTTGCAGAAGAGGAGCACCGCAGAAGGGCGGAAAAAACCCCCAAACGAGGCAATCCCGTTGGCCAAGCACGTACCTTCCCCGTTCAGCGGCTCTCGACCGGCTGCTCTCAGCATCCCTCGGGGAAGGAGAAGCAGCAGCTCAGCGGCTTCTGTTCCTCCTACGCACTGCCGGGCGGAAGTAACAACAGTAGCGAGAGCTCCCGCGGCTCTTCCGCCCGGCTGAGACGTAACGTGGAGGTCGGTTCCTTCGGGTATTCGGAGCGTAGGTTTGCCCTTTGCCCTTGGGCGCGCCTTCGCTTTCTGTTGCACGCATGCGCAAGCCTTACTCTATCCCTGGGGTCGCGAATTTTTCTGCCTGGTAGTTGCACGACCTTAGAAGACTCGGGTGTCCTGTGTCTGTCAGTCAGTCATCTCACTCATGACGTTTATGTAGTCACCCATCTTGCAGCAAATCGAGTGGCTTACAACCAACAACTAAGATACCGTTTATTCTTATAATGAAAATATTAAAACCAACATTAAAGCCGATAGACTTTTCACCACGGTTAAAACTTTCCCGTTCAGGTTGAAACAAGTTCATTTCGCCAATCTCGCCCTTTCCCAGCTCTTGGAGAGAAAAGCCGGGTGTTGAGCTCCCACTCCAGCCCATTTTCAATATAAAACAGCACTTTAATGCCCTGGGAGCCCCAGTGAGTGTCAGGACGCTGCCTCCTCTCACTTCTAAACCTGAACTAAAATTATTCTTTACCGTGGTATTCTTCCTAGATAGGCATATGGCAGTTTCCAGCATCCCAGATTTGGTTTCTATTTATGATTGCCTCTAATTACTCTGGAATATTTTTTCCTTGGAAGGAGGGAAAGGAGAACCATTATATTTATTTTTACTTGCTAACCTGCTTGGCTGTAGAAGCTGGAATATGCAGATAATGAGCAAATGTGATTCACACTTATCTTGTATTCCCACAACCTCTCCAAATAATGCTCCTGAATTTTCATTTTTAGCATGATTGAAGGGAAACACATGAAGAATTAACTATATTGGGTTACTTCAAATTAAATTGTTTCTGCCCATCCATATTTGTTTATTTTTCCTTGCCCTTATCTCTACTTCGCTGTGCTCCCATCCATTTACTAAATGCCTTGGTTCTGGTTGGAGCATCAGGTGACAATTAGCTTCTGGAGCAGCTGCTGCACAGCCTGGAAAAAGATCCTGTTGCTTTTAACAATTCTGCTAGCACTTCCTTTGTGCACACTCCTGAACATTTCAACGCACCTTTCTAAAAGGATTTGCCCAGCCTTAACAATGAGTTTGGATATCTATCAGGAGCTTTAACCAAATAAGCTAAGTAGTTTTGGCTCATAAAGTTCAGCCAAAGGTTTTTGTTGTTCCAAAGCTTTTGTTGTTCTTAGTCCTTTGAAGAAACCCCTTGACTCACAAACATTTCACCCAGTTGAGAGTCTAGTCTTGTCAAATGCTGGCCTTTTCCCCACCATGCTAGCCAATCAAAAGGTGGCAGCTCAGACCAGTTGTGTATTAACCATTAAGCAGACTAAGCACGTGCTTAAGGCACCTGGCCCAAAGGGGGCACTACAAAGTTGAGAATATGGCTTCATTTATACAGTATGTACAAAGGAGACAGGGCATTAAGATTTGTCAGTGTTTAGGGCACCAGTGAGCCTTAATCTGCCACTGGCTCAGACGATGAAAACTGCTGAGATTAATAAGCGATATGAAGAATAAACTTAAAGAGTTTCTACAATCAAATTTTCTTTATACAAATCAACCTTAACTCAAGGTTGAAGCCTAAAACCTTGTTTTAATAAAACAGTATTTTTAGTGAATTAAAATGAGAAACCCAGTGTTTTCTTTTTCCTGCATAAGAATGAAATCTAGGTGACGGTGCAGTGCCAGTCTCTGAGTAATAAAAATCAGCTCCAGATTTTAAACCTTTTCTTGTGTAGTGATTCATAAGGATTTCATCCGCTTCTTTTTTTAGGCACTTACACTGTTTTCCCTATATTATTCTCTAGGTTAAACAAGGCTGCTGAAATCTTTGTTCCCAAGTTTTGGGGGTTACAACTATCAAAACTCGAGAGGCACCAGGAATTTTCTTACGAGTCTAAAACCTATATGAAACTGCTCTTTAGCGCTATTTTTGTGTAGACGTATGAACCCCCTGTTAAAGCTGGACAAAAAGCAGAAGAGAGATATTTTTAATTGTCTCTGTATTCTAGCCAAGGCATGTATTTTACTGGCATTACAAATGCAGAAAATCAGTATATGTAATTTAAGTATCATGTACCAAAACACTCACACAATTCCTAGGGTAAGACCCCATCCTTTGCTTATTCATAGGTAGTTGCAAGTAATATTTCAGCTTTTCTGAAGTTCTAGGTTCCTTCCATGTGTTATGGTTTGTTGAATCAAAGAGACTTGTTTTGGTCTCTTCAGCTGATCAAATGCCACAAAAGATGGCCCTTTGTACGACAAAAGATGGCCCTTTGTACGAAAGCTCTTTTTTTTTTCAGGAGAAATTGTGGTCTTTTGGCACTATAGCACAGTAACAAGGAAGTATAAATGAACAAGTCATGATAGGATAGCCAGCTTTATCCTGATAACAGGTCCTTGAGATATTCATTTTCAACTGTTTTCACTCTATGGAAGTGGAATGGCTTGGTTTGCCAGGCATGACCCTGAATCAAATAATTGCAACAGACCAGATCAAGAATGTGCCTTCCCACAAGCTAGTGCCTCATGCTTTTTTCTCCATTTTTATTCTCTGAAGGAGGTTGCACCAAGGAGGTTGAGCTTCTATAATTTAGGGGATCTCTTTAGTTTAATTCTGTTAGGAGATTTAGATTTAGTAGCTGGAACAGTAAAGCGTACAATAGGCTAGAACACACAATTGTAGACGTTTGCTGACACATGCATGATGCAATCTACACTATGACTGGTTGCTGTAAATATAAAGGAGGATTTCCCCCTTTTCCCTCCTTTTTCTTCTGTGTGTTCTATATACTGTTTAATTTACTTCATGATGTTCCTGACTATCTTGTGTTTATTCTTTCTGGATGATGACAAAGGCTGCTGTATGTTTGAATGATAAATCAATCAATCTCCCTCCCTCTCTCTCTCTCTCTCTTTATCTGGACAGCTGCTGTGTAATTCTGTCAGATAACCCATCACCTTATATATGGCATGTAGCTGTTATTGTTCAAGAAAAGGCCTCAGATGGGAGTTGAACTCAACTGACCCTGCCTTTTTTTCCATCCCATTGCTTCCTTCCACACCATCTCCCTCTCAGCTCATCCAAATGATTTTGGACAGGTGCACATTTACCTTTACTTTTTTAGAGAAGGAATTTAGGGACAGAGTTAGCCAGATTGTGGATGCAACCATCCATTGCTTGTTGTGGTCTAGCTATTTGTCAGACGATAGAGTATTTGTTGGCAAGATAATTATACGCTGGGGTTTCAAAGATGAATTTTTACCATCATCCATGGAGATGCCAGGAACTGAACTTGGGATCTTTGGCCTGCAAAACAAATGCTCTGCTACCCATTCATAACCTTTTTTCTCTCTCTCAAACTAGTCCACATCAGTGTACAATGTGGCATTGGAGGGCAAAAAACCAAGACCACCCTTACCTTCTTAAGCAGTAGATCCTGTTACATCATCCCAGTGGGGGTTCTGCATGAGTTCAGAGCCAGCAGAATTTAGTGTGAACACTTTTCAGTGCTCGGCTACCAGCGAAGGCAAAAGAAACATCAATGTCCTAACATATTGACTTGAGGTATTTTCCTTGGCAAACAGCTGCAGGCCCAGTGGCATACAGAAGAGTTTCAGAAGTTTGTGGTAGTATCTCAAAGCATCCAATCTACAGGAGATGGGTTATTCTGGCCAAGGTTCTTAAAGCCATAGGATCTACGTGCTGGCAGTTTAGTTGATGTAAATAATGCATTAATTGCTATGACCTATGGGTTTTACTCTTATTTTTGTAGATCAGCTTGAAATACCTCTTCCAAAGAAAGCACCAGCAGTATCCAAGCAAAATACAAAATTCCTATTACATATCAACCGTTGTGACAGCAAACGCCATCTAGGCACAGATGGTACCTCCTATGTTAATCTTGCCTTGTGAATGTATGGAAAATAAGTTTAAAAAGCAATCTGGGCAAGGAAAGAATCAAACATATGTGGTAAAAAAACATGGAGCATGAACTGGAACTGAACAAATACATAATAAAATAGCAGTAAAGAGAAGCCTTCAAAGCATCCGACAGTATAACATGTTAGGTGTTAGGTGGCGATGAATGTTTGATTAACACAGCTGTATGTGCTAGAAAAAAAAATCTTCCGGTACTTCTACCCAACATGAATTAAAATAAAACATTGCATGCTCTAGAAACAACAAAATGCTCCTAGCAGACTTCACTAGTCTCTCTTGACACTTTGATTCTCTGAGCGAAATATTTTTGCATATTTTTATGTCTGAAACATAAATGGGGAAAAGTACTGAAGAAGAAACTAATAAAACTTCGTGTTGTGGATGAAAGATATTCAGGGGGTTCTCATCAATTTTTGTGATTATAAGTATACTTCATATAGCTAGTATAAGGATATTAAAAGGAATCCTTCCTCCCCACATCTGCTCATGACCTAAAGTTAGCAAAATAATGAAATTCGGATCAACTGTATAGAAAAAATAGAAAAACCATCAAAACTGCTTGCATTTTACATGGTAACATTCCGGCTTTTCAGCAATACTGTATTACAGAAGAAATATAACATTTGATTTTTTGAAAATATCCCTTTCTACTCTTATTACTTTTTCTTGGGTTTGATTTAATGCAGTTTGTTGTTTTTGGCACATATGTCGTGGCAGATCAGCTTCATATATATTACTTTGAATCTGAGGAAATCTACATGTATAAAGTGTGGAAGATTTTTACCAGGCACCCCAAATACGCATCATCTGACTTGCAGGAGAATCCTTTTGGTAGTCATGGTAGCATTTGATAAACTTCCTAAGAGGAACAATTTGAAAACAAGTTGGATCCAGACATGCCTCCTTGCAAATGTAAAGGAACAAATTAACAAAGCCTTCCATTAGAAGAATGGGATAGGGAGTGATGGCTCCTATTTGCAGTTTCTAGTTCCTTC